TAAGAGTAGAACGTACTTGGAAGCTCCAGTTAGATGCTACTTGTGTTAATCAGTTCAACACAATTACACATTAGGTTTCTTGTCTATAATACGATATTTGTAAACCATAAGCTTTTATTATTATTATTACTGAACATATGTTTTTTAAGTCTGAATTTTTATGCAATTTAGGCAGTGTAAATCTTCTTCATCTTTCTTTTGTATTTAAGCTCTTGTGATTCTCAATTAAGTTGACCAAAATAAATAACATTCTTAGTACTCTGACCTGCCTGTATTTTGAATGTAAGACTTGTAATGGATATGTCTGCCCTATGACAGAAATTCTTTTCTACATCTATGTGTTGTAGTATTTCTTTCTTATTTTCTATTCATGCCCTTCATGTCACTGACCTTTTTTTCCCCCCAACAATTTGATGTAGAACATTCGAAGAAACAAAATATAATTTGTTAGGCATGGTGTCAAAATGCTTCTAAGATGGTGTCTAATGTGACTTTATATGTGAGAAATACTGAACTGAGATTAAATTGAGATAATTCAGCTGAAATGGAGATTCTTCATAGGGTTAATTTCTGTTAAATGGTAGAGTATGAAAGAATAGCATTGGTTTTTAGAGGTGCAAATTCTTTATGGGGCAAGATTTGTAACAAGAGGAGTTTTAAAGATCAATGAGATGTCTAGAAATGCAGACACACTGCTGAGCACACAGACATTTTTTCATGTCACATTCTCCCACATTTGTTTTCTCCTGAAGTAGTTTCATTGATTTCATTAGAATTACTTCTGATTTATGATGCTGTGCATGAGATTACAATGAGGTCTTCTGAGGTCACTGTTGCTTTAGAAAATTGAAGTAGAGGCAAGCATACCTTATGTAAAAACAAGCTACTCTTCCTTTCACCTTAAAATCTAGAGAAAGCGATTTGTAGGAGATAAACCATACGGGGCTGAATTCCTTTATTTCCTGATTTCCTTTTCAGACATAGTAATTCTTAGAAGTATTAATTATAATTCTAAAGAACTTGTCAATGTCATTTTCAAGGTTGGAAGTTTCTTACTCCTTTCATTCTTTATGTTGGTGTTTTTTTAAAGGAAGGATTTAGTTTTGCAAAGGGTCAGGCTTTGTTTTTTGGGTAGATCCTATAATAGGATTCTGATCTTCTTTTCACATCCTTTCTGCTAATGCAGATGTTCCCACTGAGAATGCTTACAGCAGATTTTTTTTCTCAATTTAAAAAGCAGTACTTTCTGGGAAGGGCTTATGCTTAGCCTTAAACCTGCTCCTCTGCCTTTCTCCAGGCTGTGTATTGGTAGATGGATTAAATGGTTGTTGGCATGTACAAAATCACCTGGTGGGTGACACTGCAGTAGTGTATGACCCCATTTGGTCTTAGATGAGTAGACTATGTCGTGGTTGAGATATATCTTCAAAGACATACCTTGATTAAATCAGGAAGGTGAATTTTGATAACCAGAAATTGATTCCAGCAAGTAGAGTGCCTGAGCAGCTGAAGGAGAACCTTGTTTATTAGAAAGTCTTGCCTATTTTTAGTTAGGATGATATTTCCTTTCCCTTCCGTGTGCTGTTCCTTATACTGACTAATGTTATGCATCCACTGATAGATTTTTCTTTTTTTTTTTTTTTTTGTGAGTGTTCAGGTAAAGGAATGCTCCATGGAGCAGTGGCTACATTGCTTGGCACACTGTCTTCATTTTCTGTGAGCCTTCTGCTACTAAGCATCATAGCTCTCTGATGCAGTTAAACACTTGGCAGTAGAAAACTGCCATGAATAACACTGCAGCCTTGTAGCCTTTGTCAGCAGTCAGTTCTCAAAAGCTCTTGGAATTACGTGAAGTAAATATTGCTTGAATATTTCTGTGTTTTTGTACTCCTTTAATTGTGTATATAAGGAGAGCATCTGTGTAAATAACTTTCCTCAGATTCAGATTTTCAGTCTCATATTGGAATATCTTGTGTGATAAACAGCAAGACTACTGCTCAATATGCACCAACACCTGGGAATAATAATGAAAAAATAACAGTGAGAAACTGCAGCGCATCTGTTCTTGACATTAACTTTCCTCAGTTTAACAGACTGCCACCACCAGATGTTAGTCTTATGTGCCTTTTTTCCACTGGATGTTGGGGGCCTTCCTGCTTCTCTTTGCCTCTAATGGCTTACATCAGTGCCCTTTGGAGAATTCATGAAAACAACTGTGTCACCAGAATGGTCGCTAGGAACCACCACTTTGCTGTGCTGATGTTATGATTATCAAACAACATGGGATAATACTAAAACATGGTAAAAATTGGAGCAATATTTAAGTTTAGCATATTTTTTTTCTTGTGACTAAGGTCATATTTGTGTAATGAACACGCACCTCGGGGACAGTAAATGTCCACTTAATTCTTGACCATAGGTTTAGTGTTTTAATTCACAGAGAAACAGCCCCTTTTAGTTCAAGAGCCACTATTCGGCCTTGCCCTGGGTGAATGTTTCTAGTGGAAAATATGAACATTTATTAGTAGGTCTAAATAAGCCAGAACTGAGTACAAATATTTGTAACAAAGAACTTAATAGGATACACTGTTAGACCCATGCTTTCTTTAGCTCCCTCTCACTGTTTATAATACTGGGAAAATGAAAAACACATCTGCCAATTTAGTCTACATCCGTTTAAAACATTGGCTAGTTTAGAATGACAATAGCAAACATTTTGGAGTTTTTTTTCTCTGGCTTTGTGATGGAAGAATAATGTTGCATGTGTAGTAGGAGGTTTTGCACAACTTAACAAAACTCCATGTAAACTATCAAACAGGCCATTCATCAGCAGTTCTTGGGTTTATAAATGGATATGGCTTAGCTTTTCTCAAGTGCTAGGCTCCATTTACCTGCCAGTTACAGATCCAGATTCTCTTCTCATTTCAAGTAAGGTGTCTTAAGAACTCCTCTAAATTCTGCCTGGGGTACACGCTGACCCATTTCGTTGACATAGCATCATTACACAGTCAGTGCCAGGGAGCAGGGCTCTGTGCCATCCAACCATGTGCTTCCACTTGGCATCAGGCAGCCAGAATCTGTGTAGCATAGAATCAGTGTCTCCCCATGCTAGGCATAAACAGTTATGGTTTTGTGTGATGCGCACCATTAGATATTGCAAGTAACAGCTGCTCCTGGGGGCCAGTTCATATTTGACTTGCTCGAGTGCGTTCAAGACTGCTCTGCAAAGCATTCTGCCTGTGCTTTAACTCTGCAACTCTATTGGTATAAAGAGAAGAATAAAGACACCATTACTTGACTGCAGTGTTCTTATGCTGTAGGAACTCTGCTTTAATCAGTTTTGATGGTATGCTTTTAGTATTCATATTTTGCTTTGGTTTCAGTGTTGTCTTTTTTTTTTTTTAAATTTTTCCTTTCTTTTTTTTTGTTTGTTTTACCTGAAGATTTAGTTCTCAATAAAAAGAAACCCCTCTAAATGAGGACTAGTTTGGACAAGATTGTGGTTGTAGGTCACTCCTCTCTCCTTCCTAGTTCTAGTGTAATTGAGATTGAAATCCAGGCTGGTCATACAAAGATCATACAAAACATTTTTGCTATGTTCTTGGTAAGTATTTAGCATGCTTAAGGCTTGTGTGCACAATTAAAAGCCTTGGCTCTCAGTTCGTATGTATGAATAATGCTCAAAGCAAAGAATTGTCACAAAAGGCAATAGTAACAATTGTTACACTTTAAAAAAAGTTCTTCTAATTTGATTTCCATTTTATTTTCTCATTATGATGAAGTAAGCTGATCTGTGATATGAAAATTTTATAATACAAGGATGATACTCTTTAGTCTGTCCTTCTCTTTGTATCCCCATTTTGCTTTACAGGAAAGCAAAATTAACTTTCATCTACTTTAAGATACATTAGAAGGAAGCCTAGATGATGTACAGTGATTCATAATGTCTTTTCTGTTGAGTCTACTTGTGACATCCAGTCTTAAAAACTGCAGACTTGAAGACGTGATCATCTATTTGAATGCAGCTAGAAAACAGCCATTTAAAAAATCATTAGATTGAAGGGTGATTTCTTTGTGTGATGTCTGTGATCCAGTGGGCCAAATAAACATGAGTTTTAGGTGGTTTAGCTGCTTTGAATGGGCACACTCATATCCTCAGCTAGCTATCTTTTATGTGGCAAAGGACCTTATGCCATAGTAAAACACTGAAAACTCTTGGGCCAAATCTTTATGCAGAAAATCTGCTACTAAGTATACTGAAGTCATACGGGAAAGATAACTTCTTTAGTTCATATATAGATACTGTCTCTGTGCATTGTCTGTGTACAGACTGCTTGTCTGGCAAGTTGTATTTTTCTAAATACGCATTTTGGAAACTCTGAGAAATTAGATGACTTGGGTAGATTCTTATAAAAGTCCTCGTCTGTTATTTCAAGGAGAAAGATGTAAACGTTGTCTGTAAGCTGTTAGGTGGGTGATCCTAATGTATTTTAAATGATTGGAAGACAAGAGATTATATTTGCTGCCATATGGATATTAGAACTGTTTCAACTGCTAATTTCCCTATGATGCACATGAAAGAATGGCATTTATGTCTTTGCACTGTCTTTATAAATGTTTTTTTAATAGAAAATGAAGTTTCCAGTTTGCAAAATTAATTTCCATCCACAAATCAGTCTCTGTCAGCACCAAGCGAAAAGTGACCTTAATCTTTGTTTTAAAAATTTATTATTATTTTGTACTAGCAGTCTATGACAACAGGGAATAGTCTAGTAGAAACTTAGCAAGTTGTCTTGTTAAGCATGATAGATATTTTTGTACTAAATTTTTCATGTGCAGCATTTGGTCTGATGTCAAAAAAATTGAACTCATAAGACTGAAATTACTTGTGATAGACCAAATCCCTGCATACAGAAATGTAGTCTCAGCAAACTAGGCTATTACTTTTTTTTTTTTAACTCTCACAGCACCATTATAGTAAGTTTGTCTGTTGTTTTCAGGTTGATCCCCTGTTTACAGTGCCTGCACCTCCACCTCCGATTTCCAGCAGTATCACACCTCAGATTCTGCCTTCCTACTTTTCCCCATCTTCATCCAATATTGCAGCACCAGTCGAGCAGCTTTTGGTACGGACTCGTTCAGTGGGTGTAAATACTTGCGAGGTTGGAGTAGTAACAGAACCTGAATGCCTTGGACCCTGTGAGCCTGGGACCAGCGTGAACTTGGAAGGAATTGTGTGGCATGAAACTGAAGAAGGTAAATTGTTTTTTCCACTAGGTTTGTCTGTGAGATATGTTAAGAAGGAGGAGACTCTGCTGTATGTGCCTTGGTGCTAACTAAAGGCTTACTAGTCTGTTGGGATGCCATTATGTACAATGGCAGTCACAGCTTTATGGCTCACCTAGTGAGTTTTTCTTTTAAAAACAAATGGCAGGTTTTTTATTATTTAAAGCAACTGTGTTTTCCAAATGACCTACCATGTAACCCAAGCTAACAATAGAATTGTTTCCTCTTGCTGTATTAAGAAAAGCATATGAAGAAATTGCTAATAAAATAGCATAAATGTGCTATTTAAATATACATCATGAGGGTGTGTATATGTGATGGGAGTGGATATATGAATATGTTAGATGAAAACTTAGAAAGTTGAATATTTTGGAATTCAGACACTATGATAGGAAATGCCACCATTACATAAAAATAGAAGCCCCAGAGACCCCATGGAAATTTAAGTTGATGTGGTTATTGTTTGCATTTTGGTTATTTGAAATATAACAATTTAAGATGAAAGCATTCTTGTTTGAAGAAAAGTGTTCCATCTGGTGAAGAAGTGCTATTTAAACCAGAGTGATTTCTTTAATATCCTTTGAAGGCATTTGTCCAAGTAGGAGTGCTGGAGAGCTTTGGTTAACACTAAGCATTGATTTGCTATGAATTAGAACAAAGTAGGAAGAGGATTATGCTGTGATATGCAGATTTTTCCATTTTGGTTTTCAAAAGCTCATTATTAAAATACCAGCTTTCTCCTGCTAAAAATACTGCATGTGTACACTAAATTTCTGCAATTTTTGGTTTAGTAATAGCATATGTCTCCATTTATACCTGTCTGAAAGTCTTCCTGTGATTTTTCTTATGTTGCTTTTGAAGATTATTTAATTTTTAGTGATCTACCTTCCTCAACAGTGAAAACAAGGTTATTTACAAAATCATATAATGACAGAATACAGCAGTGTAATGCTTCATGATAAATCCTGACATGCTTCACACCATATGCAAAATGGTATTTGGTCCTTTGCAGTGATATATAAGACCTCACCAAAGTGCTCTACACTGTCCTTTCAAAAATCAATAGAGTCAGATTTACTTGCTTTTATATGCTTTCATCCATCCATCTTTCTCTCTGTGTATGTCTACAGCAGATTCATAAGGCAGATTGATCCTTTTAGATTGTTTTTAAAGCACAGTATAAATTCTGTTTTAAAATATCCCTGCAGAGATGACTGCCCTTAGCAACTGCAATCTTCCTTGACTGGCCTGCATTAACCAGAGTTGGAATGTGTGGGCGTTAACTATGTTGACATGAAAGAGCAGTAGCTGTTAATAGTGTTATTCTTGCTGAATAAACTAAACTTCTGACCCCCACTGAATTTAAGAAGCCTTCCTTGCGAGTGGTTTGGCACCAGAAATGAAGTATTAAAAAAGAGTTGCATTCTGGTCAGGATAACATTCCATTTAGCAGTATCTCATCACTCTACTGGTTTAAAAACTCTTGTTAGTTAATGGGAATTAACTACCTCAGCTTTTTCCTAGTTTGTCTAAAAAAATTTTCTGAAACAACTCAGTTCAATGATGGCATGCTTGAGTGAAACAGTTTTGAATGTGCCTGTTTTCACAGCTTTACAAATACTGTTTGGCAACACTGCAGCTATGAGTGACTACAAATACAGATAAAACGGGATTCTAAAATACTCTAGAAATATAGCTAGAATGTAGATTAAGAGACTGAAGATAATTGATATGATTTCATATTGTGTGGTTGGTACTGTGCTCTTTGTGTTTGACTGTTTCAGACCCTGCTGACTGAAGAAAATAACATAAATTTGACTGTTTATTCCCAGTGTTCACAATCAACACTGTATTATGAAAAATGAATTCCTAATAATCATTTTTGCATTTTAATTAAGTTTTGATGTTTAGGGCACACATATATGTATATATTTAGCTGAATTCAAATTTTCTGACATGTTCGTGAAAGCACTAATAGCAGCTTGCATGAAGCCATTTCTGCCAAATTCTAGGAAACAGGGTGCAGATGGGTCTTCTATTTATCTTTAAGAGAAAAAAGATTATCAGATATCCATTTACTCTAGGTATGATACTGATTTTAGGGCAGAACATGACCTTTCCTAAACTGGTGTAAATTCAGATTACTCTAACTGAAATATTTGTAATTAGGCACATCTAAAACCATCTTGATGTTCATAATGACCAACTAACATACAAATTTCTTCTATGATGTTAATATGTTTCTATGGTATTCACTCCCTTTACTGCTTTCGAAAACTTAATAAAAACATGTATAATCTGACGTTTCTCTAGCTGGCTATATATCTGATAGCTTTTTAACATAAAACAATTCTAGAAAGCTGAGGTATGAAAATTCCTAATCTTGGCTTGTGTTTTGAGATATTGGAATTGTTCTTTATCTGGTTTAGCTACTCTGTGTGAAATGAGTTGTGAGGTGGTAGGAGTAGGCTTGTAGGATGTCTGCATCTGTGGCATATGAGAACTGTGAACCTAATGTGCTGCTGAGCAGCCTTCATGTGCTGCAGCAACTAGGTGCGGGAATGCAAATACTGACAGGATGTGGTGAATCACAGTTATTACAAAAAGAATAATAGAGTGAATGGAGAAAGATCATAGAATCAACCGGATTGGAAAAGACCTCCAAGATCATCAAGTCCAACCCTTGATCCAACACCACTGTGGTTACTAGACCATGGCACTAAGTGCCACATCCTGTCGCATCTTAAAAACCTCCAGGGATGGTGAATCCGGCGCCTCCCTGGGCAGCCCATTCCAATGTCTTGATTACTCTCTCTGTAAAAAATTTTTTCCTAATATTCAACCTAAACCTCCCTTGACACAGCTTAAGACCATGCTCTCTTGTCCTAAAATCAAATAGTTTATGTAGAACTCATTATTAGCATAGATGTAATATATACTTCGTAGAAGAGAAGGCATATACTGAGAAATTGTATTATGAAGGTATGCGAAATAACGACTTTTCTTTTAGGTGTGTTAAACAAGTAGTCACATTCTGTTGCATTTCTTCTTTGAGGTCAGAAAAAGGAGTATATTTGGATGTACTAGTCATATTTTTAAGATAATCACTCCAAGGGAGGGGCAGGGGAAGAAAGTAATGTTGGAATTCAGACGAAACTGTGGAAGATTAAAAAGAGCATTGTTACTACAGCTCTTTACATTTATTGCACACCAGTCTATTCAGTTAACTTGATTTAATAAATCTGACCTTTTTTTCCAGGGTATTTTAATCCTAAAATGCTTAGAGGAAAGCTGGCATCTGAAGTCTGTGACATTTAATTACAAAGGTTGGTAACCATAGCTGGTTACTCATATAATTGACTGAGACTGCTGGTTATCATGTGGGTATTTCTCAGTTGCTCTACTAAGTTGTGTAGTGTTTAATTTCTACATATGTATGCTGTAGGCATTGTCGTCTGCATAACAGCCTTGTTTGGATATAAATTGATAATGTTTCCAAAGTGAAGTTAATGGCGTTAAAAAAGAGCATTGAAGGAACTAGCTGAGGTTTCCCTATTGCAGAGGAATAAAAAATTGTTATAGGCAAGTCAACTTGAAACTGGCAGGTGATGCAGATATTTGACACCAGAAACCATGGTGCTGTAAAAGTCCTTCACAATAAGCAGCTTGGTAGTGTTAATTGGAGTGTGTATTTTGGTTTGTTTGGTTATGTTGATTCTCTGGGAAACAGCTGCTAAAAGTCTGTATTGTTATAATGAGAAAAAAGGTTTATCTAGGATCGGGTACTTACTAAATCATGTAATTACCTTCTGGGAAAACAGATTGAAGAGAACATTAATTGTTTCTTACTGCCTGGAGGAAAAAAAATGACCCAGAAAAAAAGGGAAACGGCCAACAAACTTTCTGAATTGCTTAGAGCTCACTTTTTGGTTTAGCTTGCCCTAGGTCATGTCCTGTTTTTGGTTCTACAGCAAGTAGTAAAGTCTACCTTTAGAAGTGAGAAGTGCTAGTTCTGATGATGTCTTGTTTTCTTGAAGTCTGTGTAGGAGACAGCCATCCGTCACCTTGCTGCCTTTGTGTGCAGAACGAGCTGCCTACGTGCGGCATTGGAGTTCTCTCGTTGCTGCACTGACATTCTTCCTCTTTTTGCAGTTTCGGGTACAACCTGCTTTTGTTCAGTAATAAATAATGGGGAAATTAGTTGTATATTTTAAAGGGTCATCTTATTGGGGTTAGCTTGTTGACAAATACAGGAAACAGGAATCTTCTGGATCTCAGAAATCTCCGATGGGATCATCTCCAGGGTATTCCAAATTTATCATAGCCTCAGTTCTGACACTATTTTGCAGAAATTTTCAGTAGAAAGGAGAAGGCTTTGATGACAAAGAGGCATGCTGATACTTGTGTGTATGGTTTCCCAGCCTGCCACTTTTGCAACTAATATGCATAGATGATTTGAAAACATATCTATTGCACAGAGCTGACGTGGATTCCTTCCTGCCTTACTATATGGCCTTAGTTTTGCAAAAACTGCTTTAAAAGAATGGTCTGTTTTGATTGTCTTTGGTTAGATATGCATTTGTACATGTGTGTATAAGTAAGGGTGTGTAGATGTCAATAGAGACAGAATTAGAAGAATGAGAGGTAGTCTGACAGCCTGTTATTCCTGTTAGCCATTTTTGTGGTTTAACAACCACATTTTCTTCCTTTCATAAATACAAAGGCATGATGAAACAATGAAACCTGTAATATTGAAAGCCATGTCAAATATGTAAGGAAACAAATGTAGACATTAAAAAGTTTTAAAAAATCTGTTTTATCAAAGAACATTACAACAATTCATAGAAATTCAGAGAAACATGATTAAATCACAACTGTTGTCTTGAGCTCAATCAAGGTTTATTGAGAGAAGCAATTTCCTTTATTAAACCAAGTGATACAGTTGTAAAAAACAGATAACTCTTTTAGAC